GGAAGGAGGAAAGCGGCTAATGACCTTCGCTGTCGATGCCGCTGTGGGCTTAAAAAAAAAATAATAATCATTATAATAATACAATAAGTTGTGAATATATTTATATGTTGTATTGTTGATCTGGTAATTAATGCGCTGTTCCATCTTTTGAAGATCCTGGAATAAATATGTGAATTGTGAATTCCAAACTAGAGAAATCTAAATTATATGGGAACGAATGCGTAATCCGCAAAGGATGTATGGAATGTACATTGGGTGTAAGCCGGCCGGGTTCGGTAGATGAAGCGTCACAACGTGTGCTTTAGATATGAGCTTTTACTCCTTTGTATGATGCATTTACTTGATAGTAAAGGGTAATCGTGATTCATTTTGAATGTGGCAATTGCTTTTGCTTCTACGTTTTTCTTTGAGCATCTACTTTTTATTCTACCTTATGCTTATAAACACTTACTTGTTTTTTATTCATAGGGCTCAAGGCCATGCCCTTTGTAAGTCCGACAAATATTTAAAAGTCCGAGTTATTGCTATTCGATGGCATATTCCTTCTACTAACACTTACGCTCACCAAACTAAAGAACACTGACGCGGCTTTGAGTCGCTCCCGAAGTTATTATAAACTATAATACAAGCTCACAGGGAAACTACTATTTTTTAGTTGTTTTACTCCGAATGGTCATATAAGTATCGGCTATAATACTAAAGAAAAAAATTGATCATTCTATGATGGGTAAAAAATTATATTCTTAAATTTATTATAGTTGTGGGCTACAGAATTTTGCAAGCCTAGAAGGATGAATGAAATAGTGGTAATTATGACATGCGTTAAAACGAAAAGGTTCACAATTAAGGACTATTCTTACAAAATCTTCGATTCCTATCAACAACACAACAATAAGTTCCAATAAAATGATAGTTTCTTTAACAGAATGTATCCGTATATGTATTTGTACATTAGATATTTTTTTAAAATCTTCAGCTCAGGAAAACCTCCCTCACATTGCTAATGAAACGCAAATAGTCAAAAACATTATAATATCAATGATATACAGGGCAACGGGTACCATTTAATAATAAATTGAAGAACTTCTTGGGCGTTCCATCTAGAAACAGCAACATTTTCATTTCGTGTATCACGTGCTCTTTATTAAATTCATAGTAGATTACCAACAATTGTTTTTTGCTACTGCTAAAGTATCATCAGTATCAGTATCATTTCATTAAGCAATTATAAAGAATGTTCATTTAATGATATAAAAGGGTTTTCTCAACATTTGGAGGCCTTATACTGGAGGCACGGAGTGATCCACCCCATCCGCGTCCTCTTAGTGTGACACTCAACTTTATCTTCATTTCAGTTCAGTTCAGGAAAACCAATAGTTCATTGTAAGGCCGATCAAAAAACTGACAGCTGGTCTTCTAGGACGCAGATGTCTTGTTAGGAGCATCTAGGAATCTCAAAATATAGATACTTGACTCTTAGTAGGAAAAAGTCGGGTATATTGTACCGGTATTCAAATTTTAAAAACTTATTTTTAGAGGATATAAAACAACTAAAGGAAAGCTCTGCTTTCGATTGTATATATGTGATTGAGAAGTGCATACATCGTGTAACATGAAATCACATTTGTGCATTTCATAAGAAAATAAGGACAGATTATATAATAAAAAAGATGTCAAAGCATCTAGAGGTGGAACGAACCATCGCAACGGATAAGGAAAGCTATACCAAAAAAATCTCTCTCGGCTGCAATTTACTTGATGTTTTGAATCTCAACCACAGTTGATTATACCATTTTATTACATCTCTATTCGAACATATGTTCTTCTTCTACGAGCACCATTTTTGTGTGTTTATGTGCCCCTATGCGGTGCTTCCCCCATTCTCAAGAGAAGGCTGTAAATCATGGGTCGAAAAACACCTCTTTTGTTCAGACTGGAACAAAAACTTGCAAGCACTCGGCACTGGATTGGGATGGTTCGGTCCATTTACAGATGTTTTGATATCTTCTTCATTATGTAAAATGCCTTGATTTTACAGTCTCCCCGGGTGAGCTATGAGCACCTTTTCGAAAATGACAGTAAGACAAATAGAATGCTCTTGATAAATCTCCATGTACGAAGTCTTCTCCGGCTGACCTAGTCAAAGTAACTAATGTAATACACTCGTATACACCTGACCAATGGCAAGCAAAATCATACAGAATGGCGGCAGGTCACCTGAAAATTGAAAGCAAAGTAAATTTTATGGTATAAGCAATAAAAATGGATGTGAAAGGTGCCTACAAGTTCTGTAACTCGCACCCATTCAAGGGCGCATTCAGGATTTCGTCTTGGGGGGGGATGGTGGGGGGCGCAAACGATATTTGGGCTGGTCATTTTTTAACCTCAGTGGAACTTCTAGAAGTTATCCTATTATTGCTCCTTTAATCCATTGTGTTCTATCTGGTCAAGGCCAGCTTGAAAAAAAAACATCGAAAATGCTCAGAAATCTTCAAAGAGGCAATATTTTCTTAAATGAGAATAAAATAAGTACATGGCATGTATAATTGCTAGTGTAATAATATTGAAGATTAAAACATAAAAAACTTCATTGTTGGTAACAAAAAAAAGATACTGAGAAGCAAAGCGCGTTGGTGTAGCGGTACGAGAGAGCTAGATCGCCGACGGCCCGTCTGTGCGAAAGGGTCCCGAGACTGTCTGTTAGAGAAGAGTTATCAATCAGTCGGACAGCTCTCCACTGGTCAGCATCGATCATAAATAATGTAGTCGGGGCGCCAGCACCCCAAATGTGTGAGCATACTCGAGACTAGGCCTTATCTGGGCCTTGTATAGAGTGAGAAGGTCATGGGGAGAAAAATACTTCTGAGCTCTAAACAAATAGCCTAACTTTTTCCCAGCAGCTGCTGCTCTTGGCGAGATGAGTTCGTGCCTGACCAGGTCCTCGGTGGTCTGGACTCCGACCTGCCGAAGTGAATGGCTCTTTGGTAGAGCTCGGCCATCCATCGAAACCGGATAAGATTTTGGAATCTTTTTGTTCGTCAAAGCATTAAACTGTACAAAATTGTTGCGTCCCCAAACGGTGATAACCTCCAGGTCTCTCGTCAGAAAGGGAGTCGTCGCTAGTCTTCTATTTTCCAGCTCAGCGGCAGAGATCGGCTGTCACTTTGAATTTCTGCATGTAGAGTGCTGTGATTAGCGAAACTGTGGTTTGGGTTGATCGTGCATTAAAGGAGGTCGTTGGTATGTAAGAGGAACAGTGTAGGAGCCAAGACCGATCCATGGGGATCACCCCCGTTGACGTTGTGGGATGAAGAGGAGAACCCGTCAATTACGACGGATATCTTGCGGCCAGAAACAAAGTCAGTAACCCATCTGGAAAACATTTCTGGGAGGCCATAGGGTGGAAGTTTGCTCAAAAGGGCAGCGTGTGATGGCTGATCGAACGCTTTAGTGATGTCAAGAGCAACGACATAAGGCTCACCATAAGACTGGATGAGTTTACTCCACAATTGCGTGACGTAAGCTTGGAGGTAGGCACCTCTAAATCACCTTACTTACTCGTAAGTATGTCCTTATAGTTCACCACTGATTTTTTGGCAACTGCTACATCATTTTGATCACAGCACTAAACTTCACAAGCCGCAAATATATTTTCTTAAAAATAGTCGGGTGCGCTTACACAACAATGATGGTGAGGTGGGATATTTTTGCTATATTGGAAGAAAGTACTAAAAACACTAAAAAGATTTAATAATGTATTTAATAACAAAGAGTGAACATACATACTCTAAAAAGCTAACGACTGAACATACCTGCAATTACCAAAATCTGCTTACATAGCTGAAAGTTTTCAAAGAGTTCTCACATTGGACAAAATGAACTAAGACTAGGAAAATACAGAAACTCTTAAGGGGGAGATCATCAAGTCAAGTACTGTTTTTACCTTTGAGGCAAATCACAAGCAGAAATACGGATAAATATAAAAAGCTAAGATGGCAAAGTTGATCAACATGAAAAGTTGCAACACAGCTAGGAATAAAGTTAGATAGAGTAATTTCGCATTCTGTAACTATAACCAACATTTAGAAAACCCAAAAAAATCGTATCGGCTCTTGAAAGTTCTGTTCTCTATTGTTCAGATTTTTCACACTGTTTTCATAGTCTAGAGATTGCATTTCTGGTATTACAATTCCAGTAAATAGAATATTGAACACAAACAGAATTGTTGTATTAGACATATAGTCCTATGCAAAACTTGAACTTATAGTCGAGTATATAAATGATTATAACAGAGTAACAATATAGTTCCTTTTTTGAGCGCCATTACTATCCTCTTCCATACCACTCAGCTCTGATGGATGAATGTGCAAGTGATTATTGTCCCATCATCTTCAGTGTGCTCCGCTGCAAAATTATCAGCTATTGACAAGTTGTGTAAAACGCAGCATGCGCATATGAAATGCACTGTCTGCCTGATGCTTCTTAGCTTAGCGTGGTAGAGTTGCCTCCATTTTTGTTTCAAAAGGCCATTGCAGTGCTCTGCTAGAATACGATATGAAGAATGTTTTCTATTATAGTTCAGTTGCCTGGATGATAACTGGCACCTGTCTTGGAATGGATTTAAGAGGTTGGGTAACAAGAGGTATGCACTATCTCCAAGAATGTGGTCGGCACCACACCTCTGCTCCAGTGTTTGAAAAATAGACGTTCTAAATACCTTAGCATCATATACAGAGTCCGGATAGCCGGCAAACATACTGATAATTTTCAAATCTTGGTCGCATATAAGTTGTGCCTGTAACGAAAACAATTATAATTACAAATAGTTACATAATATAATTGGAATAGTCTATCGACCACGCTATGGAGTAGACGCGCGTTTGTTGTGCTGCTGCAAAAATTGAATTTCTGATGAGAAATTGTGCTATTATACTTTTGATTCTTTCCAAGTGGTTTGTGCTAGTGATTGCCTACTGAGCAGTTATAGTGCTATTGTGATTGGTGCATTGCTTAATAGTATAATCTGAATTTATTTTTTTTCCATTATGAGCAATACCAGGCAAGGTAACAGGCGAGGCGAGGATGAATTGCTCGTAACTGTCAAGGATTTAGTCTCGAAGATTTGCTCATCTGAAGATTTTATTGGTCAGATTGCTACCTCAATCACGAAGGTAATAAGTGAACAAGTGAAAAAGGATATGATTCTTTAAAGCAACGAAACAAAGAAGTTGCCTCACAGCTCAAAACTCACGGAGAGGCGATTGAGAAAATAATCTCAAATCAAGATAAGCAAGAGCAGTATTGCAAGCGTAAGACTTTGCGCATTTATGGTGTTTCTGAGGACCAAAGTGAAGATTGTCTGCATAGGATCCTCCTAATCCTCAGGGATAAAATGAAAATAAACGTAGAACGACCAGCAATTGAATGCTGCATTAGAATAGGGTAATATGAACGAGATAAGAAAAGGCCGATAGTACTTAAATTTAGTTCAATGTATTATAAACAGCTCGCCTATGATAATAAAAGGCTCTTAAAATCATCTGGAATGGTCATCCGGGAGGACTTGACTCAATATAAATTGAAGCTACTGAAGGATGAAATCACGAAAATGGGAAGGAATGGTAGAGTCTGGACGACAAACGGCACAATATTCTGCAAATATGATGGAGAAGGCAGAACTGTGAAGATAGAGAAGCTCAGTGATATTGCAAAATTGTGAGGTCCGTTTTGTTCATTCATATTGAGATGATAATGCAACCGTTTTTTTTGCAAAAGAAAGTTTGTACTAGATTAGATTTTTTTATTCTTGAAGGCTACGTTCTGCCTGATTCTGTCGCTATTGTTGATTTTTTATTCATGATTTTAAGTTTTTACAGTAATGAAGAGGATGATAGTCCCATAATAAAAACACTATTTTGTGGCCTGAATATATTAAGTATATCCACTTTTTTGTTTATACCTAATAATTTGTTTCCCAATTATTTTGATCACTCGACATTTCTTCTCGTTTATGTTCTTATGAATCAATACGGCGTCATGACGTCATCCTCTATTTTGATTCTGAGCAAGTAGGAATAGTTTTAGTTGTTCTCATTTATGTATTGCTAACAGTTTATCTTTTTCTCATTAAGATGATTATATATCCATTTTAATCTGCAGCACAACACTCGTGCAATTGAGCTCCCACTTTGACGTGGAATCCGTTTTTTTTTCTTACTTTCTTTCGTACTAATTTTTTTTGAGACCAACAACTTTTTGCAGATTACAACATTCATTTAATTCTAGTAACCTACATATATGTGTATGTATGTATGTATATGTATATACGCAACAGACACTATTCACACGCTAACCGACTGACACTGACTGTATGTATAACTGAACTGAATAACAGAAGTAAACATCGTTCCAAATTCTTCGCTTTTTTGTTTCCGATGCGATGAGCCGAGGCGGATTAACATATCCGTTGTTGCCAAACACACCGCACATGATGATTATTGAGACAGGCGGGCGGTCAACCAAACCCAAAGGGCTAAACTTTGTTACTTTAATTTACCAGAAAAATGGTAAAGGAAAAAAACATTTCTTTTGATCAGATCTACTCACTGTTAAAATAAATGACTCAACTTCGAAGTATAGATAGTATATATATATATAGAATAATAATAATAAATGGCCTTATTCGTCACACGATTACAAAATAATTGGTTTAAAAGGAACAGTGACGAAAAGGTGGAGTGTCAGCTTATGCTGTTTTTCAACCCGACCTGGAAAACATTGACACAAACTATAGAGAGAGAGAGAAAAAAAAACTTAGAATATAACACTTATCAGAGAAAGGAAACAATCAATTACCTGTGGATATGCATAAAGTAAAATTTTAGCCATCCGACTGCTTTAAACTCATCTTTAAAACCTTTTTTAAAATTGCTTAGGCTATATTCTTATACTCACTTGATAAGCAGTTATATAGTTTGGGTGCCCAGTACGAGAAACTGCGTGTGAACAATGCTGTCGAATGCCGCGGGATAAGTAAGATGAGTTTATTCCTAGAGGATCTTTGATCGCACTGGCAGAGAGGCTTAGTTTTGTATAAAGTAATATGGCGCTTTAAGGATAAGGGTCTTATGTACCAGAGATAGGCAATGCAGTTTCCTCAATTTGTTCATCTTAACCATCCCGATTGGTCAAAAGCGCTACTAATATGATCAATTTACGGATTCCATAAGAAAATCTGATGCATGAGTTTTGTATCATCTGAATCCGCGCGGCATCACGTTGTAAAGAGCAGGTCCATAAACAGAGTCACCGTAAGATAATTTTGACTGGATAAGGGACTCGCAGAGTTTAAGCTTGAGCTGTGTCGACAGGACACTTCGACTCGGATATAACTGACGAAGCACATTATAGGACGCATTGCATAGTTGGTTAACATGTTTAGTGAAGCGTAGCTTGCAGTCAAACCAGATACCAAGGTTTTTGGATTCGTTTACGAAGCATATGTCTTCATTATTCACCATAATATAATGCGATATTGATTATTCACGATTCTTTTTGGGCCCAAATAAAATGCAGCATGATTTGCCAGGATTAGTTTTAGATTGTGAGCACTAGATATGTCAAAAATAGACTGCAGGTCTTGATTTATTTGATGTTGGCCAAGCATATATTCATCAGGATCGAAGCAGTTATAAAGTTGGGTATCATCGGCGTAATGATGAACGATTGAGTTGCTGGCGGTTTCATGAAAATCACATATAAAGAGCAAATAAAGGGGACTCAAAATACATCCTTGAGGACAACCAAAATTTCTGAATAAAGAAGTTGATATATTGTTTTCATATATGACTGACTGTGAGCGATCAGTTAAAAAGCTCTTAATCAGCGTGCAAGCCGATGATGACAGGCCAAAGTATCTAAGCTTTTTACAGAGAATATTTGGGTCAACCGTATCGAAGGCCTTGCTAAAATCAAGAAGAACTAGGCAGGACAGCTTTCCTTGATCAACCGCGCTATAAATATTATCCGATATAGACAGGAGCGCAGTGGTGGTGCTATGTAATGGTCTGAATCCAGATTGGGAGGTGGTCAGTAAATTATTTTGACAAACAAATGTGTGCAGCTGCTCATGTAGAGCCATTTCCAAAAGCTTAGATAAACTTGGTAAAATGCTTAGGACGAAGATCAGAAAAACTTGAAGGATAATTAGATTTAGGCAGAGGGAGAACAAGAGCATTCTTCCAGGAAGAGGGATAAAGATATTTGTTTATACAAAGTAATAGATGGAATAATATACTTGAGCAAATGCTATGTATTATACGGATCATATCAATTGTGATGCCATCTGAGCCTTTAGCATGACTTTGATGCGATCAATAAATTTCTCTCAGTGGCAGGGGAAACTGTCGTGAACAGAAAAGTACCACTATTCTTGACGTTTTCATATTTGTCTAAAAGGTTCAATTGAGTTAATGATTTGGTTGTTTGAGGTACGTTAAAAAAGCACTATTTATGAATCGAGATCCTGAAGATGTGGAGGTAGACTTATGGAGTTATGTTTAACGATATTCAAAGATCTAAGTATATTCCATGTAGTCTTCGAATTTTTATGTCTCATAACATAATCGAGGTAGGCTTTTTTCTCTCGCCTAATACCACTAGAAAATATATATATATATATATATATATATATATATATATATATATATATATATATATATATATATATATATTATTATTTTTATCTACTATCTTGTATCTATCTTATTTTGAGTAGGCGCTATAACTGGTTGGCTTCTTTTCGATAACCATGCAAAATATAAACATAGGTAGCTTAAACGTTCGATCGTTGTTACCATCTATATCTAATGTTCGATCTCTAATCACTGAGCACTCTTTTGATATTTTTTTAATTTGTGAGACTTGGTTACATGCTGGAATTGATGATGATGCGGTGCACATTCATAATTTTAGTTTATACAGAATTGATCGACATACTAGGGGTGGTGGATTACTCATATATGTAAAGCATACCATTAATAGTGAATTGATGCAAATTGAAGAAAAGTTATTTAGTGAGCAATTGTGGATTACTGTTAAGTTGAATAATAAACGTTTTGCGATTGGTGTTGTTTATAAGCCTCCATATGTCGAAATAAATAACTTTTTGAACGAATTTGAGACAGCTTTGAGTTTGATATATCCTACTGTGGATGATGTTATAATAGCGGGAGATTTTAATATATTTGTTTTACTTGAATAGTGCTGTTAATAACTTTTATTCTGTTTTAGAGGTATTCGAGCTAACACAAATTATTGAAGGACCAACGCGAATATCGGGTGTTTCAGCAACGCTCTTGGATCTTATCTTATTACCGGGGAACTTGTTTTAGACAAAGGAATAATTGATGTTGGCCAGGTATCAGATCACTTTTTGGTTTTTTGTAAAATGTCAGTTTGTAATCCACATTCAAAAGAAAAATTTATCACTTATAGAAGTTTTCAGTTTTTCAATGAGGAACATTTTCTGAATGATCTCCGTGGTATATCTTTTTTCCAAATGTTCGACCAAGACAGCATTGATACGAAAATAGCCTTTTTCACTAACTGCTTAGTTGAATTATTCGACAGACATGCCCCTTTAGTTAGAAAACGCGTTACAAAAGGTAGGGCGCCATGGATGACTGATACAATCAAACAAATGCAGCAGCTCCGTGATGAAGCACTTAAAAGTTATAAACGATCAGGTACTCATGCGCACTTACAGTATTATAAAGATTTAAAGAATTATGTCACTAGCGCTATTGGAAGAGAGAAAAGAGCGTAGTTTCTTGCATAAGTTCTTACAGCAGTTCTCTCAGCAAATGTGGAGGATATTAAAACAAAACAAGATGTAAAAAATAACTTTAGTAACTCATTGCCCCCTAACCTAATGGATGTGAACCTTCTGAATGATTTTTTTATAAATTCCATCTCCCCAAGTGAACCTCCAGATTCCTTAATAAATTTTTACAAAAATAACTGTCTGACAAACTCCAAATTCAAATTTAGAAATTGATGAAATATTCATATATCAAGCTATCTCTGGTATTAAAACAAATGCTGCAGGCTGTGATGGCTTGGGTATCTTTCTAATAAAACTTTGCTGTCCACATGTTATTCCTTATATCAGGCATATAATAAATTGTTGTTTGATTCAAAATGTTTTTCCAGAAGCATGGGGGTGCAGTTGTAAAAGTAACTCCCAAAAAGCTAAATCCTTCAGATTTTAATCACCTCAGAGAATAAGCATCTTACCAGCATTGTCAAAATTATTAGAAAAAGCGGTTGAGTTGCAATTATGGAACATTATCAAAGTTTTCTTTGCTTTCTCCAATTCAATCTGGTTTTAGAAAGAATTTTAGCTGTACAACTGCACTTCTACATGTAACAGATAATTATCAGAGCCACTGATCAGGGAAGGTGTACAGTTTGATAATGTTGGATTTTAGTCGAGCTTTCGATACGATCAATTTTAATTTACTCCTAAATATGCATTTTATAGGCCTCGATTCGGATAGTGTCAACTTTTTCAGTAAGTATCTAAAGAGCAGAAAGCAAAAGGTTTTTTGGAGGGAAGTTATTCTACGTGTTAGCCTTAAAATCAGGCGTGCCGCAAGGCTCTATTATGGGTCCACTCCTTTTTGCAATTTATACTTCATACCTGGGCAAAGGCTTAAATACTTGCAAAATGCACTGCTATGCTGATGACACTCAGCTGTATCATAGTTTTCTACCCAGTGATGTGGACATTGAGTGCAACCATCAACAGAGATTTATCATTATTGACAAAGAATGCCGAAGAACATTTTTACATCTTAACTCTAGCAAATCTAAAGTAATTGTATTTGGGCCAAAGCATGCGCGCCAGGCTGTTACTAACTCAATTAACTTTACCATCAATGCACAACAACTTGAAACTGTCAGGAAGCAAAGAACTGGGTATAACATGGATGTAAATTTAAGATTTGAAAAACATGTAAATTCGCTCATTCGTAAGCATATTCCTCTTTAAAAATATTGTACGGCAACAGACGTAACCTTCCCGTTAAAGTCAAAATAAATCTATGTGAGTCGTTGGTGCTCTCGCACTTCAATTTTTCTGATATGTTGTATGGCCCATGCTTAACTGCCACTTACAAACAAAAAATTCAGGTTGCGCAGAATTTTGCCTCAGATTAATATATGGCATCAGAAGACGAGACCGAATATCCCATAAGTGAAAGATGCGAATTGGTTGAACATGGAAACAAGAAGATTTTTGCATGCCGCAACATTATATCATAAAATAATTTTGTATAAGACCCCCTTACTTATTTGAAAAAGTTACATTTCGAACAGATGTGCATAACATCAATATAAGATCCAGGGGGTTGCTGACACCGCCGATATTCCGAACAGCCCAATTTGAACGATCGTTCAGCTACCAAATTTGTTTCATTTATAACACCCTTCCGGTACAATATGACATCTGAGCATCTCAAGTTTCAAAACTTCAAAACTCAATTAAAAAAATATCTCTTATCCCAGCAGTAGTAACCATGTTTCAGGGAAAACAATTGATACAAGTTTATGATTCTTTTATAGTAGATGTATGTAAGCACTGCATATACATTTAGTAATTGTAATGTGTAGAATAAGTAGGTCTCACTCACCTTTTGGACAGACTTTTTTATAGCGGGTTAAGTGGAAGAGCAGCTACAGCTGAACTTCGCCCGTATTTGGCTATTTTTTATCTAATCAGTCTATTTGGAAATAAAGACGTTTATTGTTATTATATATATATATAATGTAGTGTATTTTCAAGATGTAGGTATGCAGTCATATAGCAATAATTGAAAATTAGCAGCAAATGAGCATGGAGCACAACTATTATAATGCATCGAAAGAACGACTATGTACATATACTAAGTGACATATAAATCCGAACACCCAGTTTAAATGGTTTTATTTTAATAAAAGTTGGTGAATGTATCTTACTGTAGATAACAAGTGAAAAAATTTTCAGCCTTATCAGTTGGACATTCCGGTTTTTATACTGCTTTTTGTTAATTCACTAACGCTCTAAAAATGAATATTTCAGCCGCAGTAAAGAATCAACGTTGGCGGATTTTGGTTCTTGACATCCTTTACGATCGGTTACGATGCCTAGAGTACGGAGACCTGTATGATTTCGCCAACTTAGTGAGTTTGATAGGGGCCGTATAGTGCGACTTCGGGAAGCTGGATTTTCTTTTCGGGCAATTACAGTTAGAGTGCAAAGAAGTGTAGACACTGTGGTTAGGTGTTGTCAGGCATGGCTTCGAGAAGGCCGTACGTAATCGCCTTGAGTGGTGCAGATAACGGTCACTCTGGGATCAGGAATGGAACAGTATTGTCTTTAGTGACGAGTCTCGATTTTGTTTAGGCATGCACGATGGTAGTGGCAGGGTTAGAAGGCGACGTGGTGAAAGGAGGAATCCACAGTTTTTTGTTGAAAGACGTTCATCACACTGTCGGAGTTATGGTTTGGGGTGCTATAGCTTATGGTTCCAGGTCACCTTTAACCTTCATCAGAGGTAACATGAACGCGCAGCGTTATATCCACGAAGTTCTAGAACCCCATCTTTTACCCTCTCTTGACACCCTGGCAGATCCAACTTTCCAACAAGATAATGCCCGACCACATGTTGCAAGAGTCACAATAGACTTCTTTCAACATAATGATGTCACATTGTTACCATGGCCACCAAGATCTCCCGACTTATCTCCAATTGAGCATGTGTGGGATATGATGGGTAGGAGATTGCTCAATTTGCAACGTCCTCCTCAGACTCTAGAAGCACTTCGGAATGAGATACCACAGGAGGACATTGACCACCTGATCAGAAGCATGCCTAGGCGCGTTGGAGAATGCGTAGCACATCAGGGTGCATCCACACATTATTAAAGGTCAAAGTGCTTTAAAGCAGTGCAATCATTTTGAAATTTTTATCATTTACTTATTATGCTTCATTAAGTACTTATACAAAATTTTATTAAAATAAAACCGTTTAAACTGGGTGTTCGGATTTATATGTCACTTAGTATATGGTCGAAGTTAAATACGGGTGATTATCATGAAAGGTGATTAAATCGATCTAATTTTGTTCAGAAAAAAAAATCGAGTTTTTCCAATATCTGTTGCAATTTCGCGGAGAAACATCATAAGATATATTTGATTAGGTATAAGGTCAAACAGTTTACCTATTGGTTTTTGAAATTATGAGGATTTCGAAAAAATATATTTCACGGAGGTGATCACCTCTCACGGATGTGAAAGCTACTTCATATAATTGCAAACTCATGTTAAATTGGTTTATATTTAGTCCTTTATTCGAAAAAACGATTATATAAATGTAAAAGAGCATAATTATTTCAGTTTAAAAGCATAGCTAAAGGTATATTGTCGTCTTCATCCTCCGACGATGATGAATAAATCTCAGAGTATATCAGTCTTCTTTTATGTGCTAATAATCAGTTAAGGAAAAATGAGGAATTAGAAAATATTTGAAAATGCCAAAATAATTTGATAAAAAAGGATACTTTGCTGCAATTGGTAAGTTCCCAAGGAATAATGAGAACAAACTTTGGATGGAGAGCAGCTGAGACAGGTGAGCTTTCGAATATCTAGGAACGTATGTGGTTTCACCCAAACAACCTCATGGCACTGTAAAATTCCGGTATACGGTGGCAGTATTTTAGGTATCGTCTTTTCAATTTTGTCAAGCTCTGCATCATCTATCTGAACTTCAGAGAGAATGAGACCTTTACAGTTTGCTTTCAAATGGAACAAAAAAGATTGTAGGTTAGATATGTCCATTCCTCGAGCCACCATAGCATCAGCTGTGCGCTTTAAGACTCCCCTACTCCATCTGGAGCTCCCTTGCCATGACCTTTCTCACTATAATGCCACCGTAACTTTTCTACATTTAACTCGTTCGTAATGAAGCTTGCCATCAAATTGAACATCTTTCTGTTACGATATTGGGTTGAGGGTCCGTCACTTACAAAATGAACGCATTTCAAATTGCCTACAAAGGTTTTGAGTTTTTTAAAAACGGGAAGTAGATGGGCGCAAATGCCTCAGGGTCATGCCGCAATTTTTGGATACTGTACAGAAACATTTTTTTGCATAGTATTGTTAGAGCTTCTATAATACACAACTACCGTGTGCAAGCTCAACTGCATTTTTGAGCCCCCAAGTGGGCTGACTGGACTTCTTCAGCATATTTACATCCATAATTTTCGGAGAAATCCATATGTATTAGAACTTCTGTATTATCCATATTTTCTTTGATCTTCGAATTTCTCTCATCTGGTGTTCTAAATTTTTTATATGCAAAAGAGGCTGCAATGAATTAAGGAATGCTTGAAGAACCTCACCCTTAGTAGACGTAAGCTTCTCCTTAAAAGTTTTTGTACACAACTTTTCTTTTCCTTTCACTACTATTGTAACCCGCTTTATAACCCATCTCTCATGAACTATGGTGTCCGATCTATGAAATTAGCTGTAACTACTGTTTTCTTCTTACAACTTTCGCATTTTCTTTCTAAACATATTTCTTTCAGTACTTCCCCTTCGCAACAAATGGCTCTACATACTTCTTCAGGAGAATTCTCTTTTATAATATTTGCGATTTTCAGCCTTCTAACGAGCAACCACATATTCGCGTGGATCATACAAAGGCAGGTATTTCGTTCTTCTATTTTTGGCTGTATAATCCAGAATGGGCCTAATCGACAGAAGGTTGTGTAGCTAATTAGAAACTTATTTTCTTTTATAAATCGTCTATGTAGATTTCTGAGTGTATCATTTAGTAATCGTTTCTGCCTCTTATCATGTTTTCTTATAACATAATCGTTTTGCCAGGGCAGAGCGTACTGCAGTCATCTTTTTCCAGGATTTTTTATTTGTTGCCTGATGAATTCCTGATTTACTAATCTCGTTTCAGATTTATCTTTTGAGAATGTAAATACAGACGCAGTTCTTTTCAAATAGCTTATTTGTTTGTACTTTTTTACAACATTTCCAGAAATATTTTTCCAAAATGTGCTTTTCTGTGCAGGATTTGTAAGAACCCGATAATTTTCTGGTAACTGTTTCGCTATAACTTCTGAAAATAACAGTTTTTTCTTAACAGCAGGAGAAACAGTTTGTCCCTTGATTAGTGCTTCCACTTTTTTTTTCAGGCGAACCTATGTTTTTGTGCAGTCGCTTTTTTAATCTTTTTAGTCTCATTCTATATTTTCCTTCTTTCTTTTCTCTTTTTCCAGTTCGACTTTTAACAAATCTATTTCTTTTCTTAGAGCTTTACGTGTTTTCTTCTTCGTGACCTGCCTTGCCTCTTTCTTCCATCATCCTTTCTTGAAGTATTTCATCAATAGTGCTTCAGCCATTAGTTCTTCCGGGATTGGAGTGGCAGGTGGTGAGTTTTCTTGTAATTTAAGCTCGAGCTCCTTTGCATTTTTCTTTCCAAGATAGTGTTTTTTACTTCTATTCCGCCACTCTTTCCTTTGATTCCGTTTTTCTCTTTCTGACATTTGGTCAATGGTTTTAATTTGGCCAGCTTCTTTTCTCCGGTAATACCGTTCCCGTTCTTTTCGCTTGTCTTCTTCATACTTCTCTGGATCCTGTCGCCTTGATTCACGTAGCCTTCTCATAGCTTCGCTTCGCGCTGCCTTCTTTTCTTTGCTTCGTGATGAGCTTTTGTATTTTTGTTCTGTACTTTTAAACGAGCCATCTTCTGAAAATGTCGGTGCATATATTACTTCAATTCACTAAACCATTACAATGTCTCACCTCCGTGAAACTTGGTTCACCTCCGTGAACTGGTAACTTCACGGAGGTGAGGCTCACGGAAGTGAGGAATTACCATATTTTTCTTTAATAACTTGTTGTGAAAATGTCTTGCACAAGAAATTTCAAACCAGCTCTAGTGGGAATATTATGCCACTTATCAATATTAAAACTACGCATTTTTCTTATTTACTTACCAAAAAAAAAAAACAAATTCACGGATGTGAGAACAACAAAGGTTCCACGTGGTTAACAAGTCTTAAACTAAAGAGAGAATCCATCTGATCACTTTCAGTCCCTAATATCGACTGAACGAAATAGGTCGTGGTTTGCTGTAACGCGATACAATGCCAGAAATTGAATAGTTCGCCATCTGTGAGCCGAAATCTGCATCAAAAAGTACGTCACGGAGGTGATACCTACTTTCCAGAACAGGGGTTGATGCGCAAACAGTAAATTACATGATATTCCAAAAGAAAAGTTTTGTTCATATCTCTTCTACAAAAACAAATTCTGGAGATTCAAGATAAAACTTCTATAGATTTCTTCCTTAGTAATAGTTTTTATGTAGCCTTGTGATGGCAATGGTAAAAGAGAACAGTCACGGAGGTGAGGTTTTCATACGTTTTTTGGTTATAAATAAAAAAACAGAAATATTAAAGACTATGCACTTATTAGTTATGAATATTCCTTAACTTTAAAAATGTACCTCCATTATTAACACTTGGATTTTTTTTTATAAAATGATATTTTTTAGCGAGTACTCAAAATTTTCACCTTTCATGATAATCACCCATACACAACCGTTGTTTTAAGCTAATTCTAGGTAAACTGTATATATTAAGAGATCAGTAACTCTACTTGGTGCATAGGTACATACTCATAACTACACTAACCTGTATAGAGTAGTATCCTTTTCTATTGATCTATGATAACGGATCATCCTCTCGTTTGTCAATCTTTATATGGGTTCCATCAATAATACCAACGATTCCAGTATATCCATTTTTATTCAAGAAATATTGCCTTGTCCTATTTGTTTGTTGTTCTATAGGCCATTTTATAATTTCCGGTGCGAGACTACTCAGAAAGTTGGTCATTTTGGCTATAACAGCATGCAGGTAACTCACAGAAACATTGAACCTATCAGCCACATCCCTGAAGCTGGCTGTTTGATATCCAGTAAACCATAAAAATATACGCGTTTGTTTATACGGGGTTAGCTTCCCATATGGCCCTACCTGATAATTAAAATGGCTACTGCCACGGAATTTCTCTGATATTTCTTCTGCCACTTCCCTGCTCACCCGAAAATGAACCAAAAACTAGATGCTGTTGACTTGTGGCAGTGCTTCCTCTACAAATCTCAGGTTTTTGGGTTTCATTCTCTCTTCCAATAGGTCTTCAAAGTCTTCATCTTCCGAAGAAAATTCTGACATTCCTGAATATTTGTTGCTTGATATATCGCTCATAGTAATCGCCTTTTGCGAAGCAATATTAGTCCTCAAGATAGTTTCGACACACTCTGATACCTGCCACTGTGACTTATTGACTGGGGTACTCCGACCTGTCAGAAGATGCTGTACAAACACCGGACTAGCTGTCGGCAAACAGTCAGAAACTGTACGAACAGGTAACATCTCTCTGATTCTGATTTTGACAGTCACAGACAAGTTACCGGCTACTGTACGAACTAACCATAAGTTGTTGAAATTTTCTAATCCCTAACAGAGGAAAATACGACATACTGGCGACATCTCACGGGAACCATTTTTAAATATTGTAGTTGATTATTTAATCACAGATTTCACGTGTGAAATTTCAGTGTTGGTTCTTATAGTTCAGGCATCGAAGCTATCGCATATGCAGAAGCCTAAATACCAGAGCACTGCGGCTGCTATGAGGAGCTTAAAGAAACTCTCTTAATTCAATCTTTGAACTACCTCAGCTTAGTAGAATTGGGAAAAGCCTCCTCAGGTAGATTGTTCCATAATATAATAACCCTAGGGACTCAGGGGCGGTCGTATCGGACAGTTCTGGATGTAACGAAGTTCGACACGGTTAGGATGGTAAGTCAAGAGGGTCTGTCTAACAGCGACATCGCGCGGCGGTATCATGGGTGAGAGCTCTGAGGAGAAAAGCCCCTTGACATAACTGTTGATCGCCGACGTCCTGTCGGTGCGAAAGAATCGCGAGCCGGTTCGAGGGAAAGAATTATTGATCAATCGGACAGCCCTCCTCTAAACAGCATCAAGCAAGGAGAATGTAGCCAGCGCAGCAGCACTCCAAACATGTGAGCAGTACTCGCATCTTTATCTTATCTGGATCTACAAGGTGAGGAGGTTATATGGAGAAAAGTACTGCAGAGCCCTAAACAAATAGCCTAGCCTTTTCCCAGCAGCTATTGCTATTGACGAGATGCGTTCGTGCCAGATCAAGTAGTGGGTGATCTGAGTCTGACCAGCCGAAATGCACGGCTCTTCGGAAGAATGTGTCATTTATCGATACCGGATGAGCGCTAAAGTGCGCTTCCTGTTATTCGAGATACACTATTGTAATATCCAACGTACTATTAGGATTCAGCTAAAAATGTATGACCTTTCTGTAACTGATTCCTGCAAACTTCTCGGTACGCACTTTGACAGTAGACTAAACCTTTGTGAACATATTGATCATGTTGCACAAGCTTAAGTACACTATACAAATGAAATATTTTTTGAACGCAAAAGGATTAGTCGAAGTCTGTTAAGTATTGGCATATAGCCACTTATCTCACAATATTAGAGGAGCCTAAAAGCGAATTAGCAGGTTAATGTTTGGAATGAAATCCCATGATTCATGTAGAAAAGTGTTTATGTCTAAGGAAATTCTCAGTTTGTATTGTATCATTTTAAAATAATCGCTTGTGTTAAAATAGATGACAACCTGCTAGCCAACATCAATACTTATCATGAATGATAAGAGGTTCAAAATTTGAAAGTGATGTCAGTGAAAAATCATTATTAAGAAGTTGCTGATCCCAGTGATACTATAATAAG